AGTCAGTCAGCAGCAGCCAGCAGCGAGCGGCGAGCCAGCTCGTAACACATACTGTGATACATGTTACATGCTGGCGGAGGTATGCACTCTCCGTGAGTGCCCTCTGTCTAGTTACGTTTTGTTGCCTTCATTGTTTTTGCCCTTTACCGTTACTGTTCCACCTTCTTCAATCATTCATGCTATACAGCTGATGTCTGCGCGTGGCAGCAGCTCTTGGTGGCGCTCAACTCCCATGTTTTGTAAATAACACAGTAATACCATTGATATATACATATTAAATGTTATTCATCACTATTTCTCATTTCATTGTGTGTTACTCTTGATATTATTAAATTTTTTTATAGATTAAGTGGCGGAGATCTGTAGCAACAAGTCGCCAGAATTTCAACACCATTTTTGGTGAATGTCCATATTGCAGTAAGGTAAATAACATGTAGCCCATATTGTAGTGCATGCACTAGCTCTAGAACTATAGCCCTCTGGCTATAGGCGGCGCCTGCGGCGGAGCAGAGTGATGCGAGTATTTCTACCGATTTTGTAATATGCATGAGTAAATCAAACAGCATTTTGTTTTAAATATAATTGTTATTTACTAAATATAGATGCCTGCAATAATAACATCTAAATATACAATATAATAGTATTAACAATAAAGAAAACACAGCATAGTGGAGCAAAGATGTGCAATAAGAAAAGCAAAATTTCAGTAATTGCCACCAATTACTATTCCATTTGCGATCATTATACCTTATTACTGTATTACGTGTAACTAGACAATTCACAACAAGTATTTACATGTGCAATGAAGAAATATTATTTTACGACAACAATAAGCGAGATCCTGAAAGCAAGAATCGCCAGCACTATTTACTGACAGAACCAGCCACCGTCACACACAACACCGGACCATCAATGATATACGTCGTAGAATATTAGAATATCATTTCCTATTATCCATTCGTAGAATATTATCACTTGGTAACATCAATTCTTCAAATATGACCTTTCCTTACAAGTCGTCTATGAAAACGGTAGGTTTGCTACACAGTAGAGTGAGTGTTTGCTACATCGTTATGGAGCAAATGATAAACTCGTTATAATTACGATAGCTAATAACATGAAAATGTGAATGAAATGGCTAGAAGAAGAATAAGGATTTTTTAATTATCATTTTTACTTGCAGCATAGACTGTTATCTAGCCACGCAGGCTTCAGCGTCTAAATACATGAATTAAAATAAGTATCAGGTGGTAACTATCTGACACGTGGAACTGGTGTCCCTACACCAACTAAACACCTTTACCCATCCACCGCACTGTCCTGTCTCACTTGGTGTTAGATCTAAACACCTACACTAAATGAATAATATCTCATAATTAGATTCCATATGGATATACCACTTCTTGCTAGTTCTTTAACCAAGTTGTTTTCTACACTTTCTCCTATTCAACTATTCCGTTCAAAACAGCTCAGGACTGCACTGGTTAATTTTTATCTTACCACCTTTACGCTTCGGCGCAGGTTTAGCTACCGAGTTGCGCGTTGCACTTGACAAAGCGGGTGTAGCATTGGGAAGCGGTGGTCCCCACGCATATTTAAGTTGGATGTGTCCATGCTTTGGCGATCCTCCAGGCTTAATCACTTTATTTGTCCCCTTTCCGATTTGCTTCCTGGCCTTGGTCTTCAGCTTTTGTGCTATTAGGAAAATAACCTTTGTCATTGATCTGTTGGAGACTTCATAATAAAAAATGTGAATACGTGGAGAGAGAACAATTAAAGCTGATTTCGATTTGTCATGCACTATATTGCAGGGTGCGAAATTAACGAGTCAAATACTCCCTGATTTGACATATGCAGGAGTCCGTGTGACTCCCTGAAAATTCTGC